GAGAGTGTGTGAGAGTGTGTGTGAGTGTGAGTGTGTGTGTGTGTGTGTGAGTGTGTGTGTGTGTGTGTGAGAGTGTGTATGTGTGTATGTGTGTGAGTGTGTATGTGTGTGTGAGAGAGTGTGTGAGAGTGTGTGAGAGAGTGAGAGTGTGTGTGAGAGTGTGAGTGAGAGTGTGTGAGTGAGAGTGTGTGTGAGTGTGAGTGTGAGTTAGGGCTGTGCGATTTGGGGGAAAATTTTTTTGACGGATATTGCGATTTGATTTGCGATTTTAAATTTGCTAAAGTCAAGCTTCAGCTCAATATTGCCAATAATGTGCGCACAATTATGGGTATCATTACCCTGCTGAAAAAAACAATAGAAACGATCACAGAAATTCTTATAGTTTCCATTAAACCATTACAAAATTCCTTTTTGTTTTGGGCATTATTCGGTAGCCATTGACTTCCATAGTACAGAAAAAAATTAAAATAAATACAATGGAAGACAATGGCTACCGGCAACTCTTTAGGGAAAGAACTACAATTCCATGAAACATTGCGAACGACATAATCTAAATAAAAACAAAGGATAAATATAAAACCAAATAAAAATGAATGAAATAAAAAAATTAAATAAACATGAAAAATAAATATAAAACTAGTGATTTAAAGAAGCATTTTGAAATAATACATTTTACATTTACTGTAAAATACACATATTTAGATAATAATGAAATATTAAAATAATAATAATTTAAATATTTATATCAAATTTATATAAATATAATATTTTACATATAAATATAACAGAAATGTTATGACTTTTTTTGCATAAATTATATAAAAAAAATAAGTATATATATATTGGTGGAGATTTCTCTGCAGAATCATGGGTAATGTAGTTTTTCACCAGGAATTCTGCCGTTAAATGTGATTATTTTTAAATAAGTTGAAATAATGCGGGTTGATGGATGATTAGCCAGCTCGAACCTCACAGTAGGTCTGTCTTTAACGGTTTATGAGTTATTATTAAAAACCAATTCCTCTATGGAGAAAATGAATGGGATTTTTAGTTGTATGTGTGTGTGTGTGAGTGTGTATGTGTGTGTGTGTGAGTGTGTATGTGTGTGTGTGTGAGTGTGTATGTGTGTGTGTGAGAGAGTGTGTGTGTGAGTGTGTGTGAGAGTGTGTGTGTGTGTGTGTGAGAGAGTGAGTGTGTGTATGTGTGAGTTTTTTCACAAATAAATTGTTAAAAATATTAATAAAAAGGAAGACACTGTAACTAATAATCGCACTGGGAATCGTATTTTTACAAATAATGACAAGTTAAGATTGTCTAAGTTTAACTTGCTTGTTTAAGATTTGTTGAAATTAAATGCTGACGGTAGATGAGAAAGTATTATAGTGTTTGCCTTTCGGTTTCTCAGCGCTGTCAAAATAAAAGTCCTGCTTCTGACATATCGGCTAAACAGAAAAAAGTATTGGCCGATACGATAATTTTAAAAAATGTCAAATATCGGCCGATATATCGGTCGATTATTACTTTCTACTTTGATTCGCTGTGTTTATTAGCGGTTCATATGCTGAATTAATATCCTGCAGTCAGTTCCATATGCAGCATAATTTGAGTCTCTCTCTATTCTCTCTCATCTTCTCCTGAACAATAGCCGGTGCACTTGGGAGCTCATTTATGATTTTTGATAATTGATAGCTCTTCATTCGCTCTCTCCTCAGGCCGCGACGCCCATGTTTCGTGAATACATCGCTCAGGTTCTGAAGAACTCCAAGGCCATGGCCGAGGCGCTGCTGAAGAAGGGCTACACGCTGGTCTCGGGTGGGTTTTCACGCGCTGTAGGTTTTCTCTTCAGGTGAGCAGAACGTGTTCGTCTGGGACTGAGACGACGCCACTGGATTCTCCCGGAAGATGAAGTTAGTTTTCCTGCGTTTTATCAGTGTGTGCTGCAGGAGTGAGACTCAAACCCCTACGAACTAGAGGAACTAAAAAACTAAAGCCGTATTAATGAATAGTCCTGTTAATGATTCAGCGTTGGGTTGTGTGGAGTGAAGCAGTAGAGAGCGTCTTCATAACACACTGACGCACCAAAGACCTGCAGACGCATGAAGCTCTACTAACGGCTTCTTTAAATCTCATCCTATCAGATCATGCATGCAGACGGGCTTAAAAACATCTTACAACCCGGATCACGTTGAAAAATCGTAGTGAGGATAGACGTGGTTTGTGTTGAACCATCAAATAAACACGTCAGTCTTTAAAAAAATTTAGAGGATGTTTTTCAGGGATATTTTCACCCTTCCGCAAATTAAAGCTCTTAAATCAGAGCAGAAAGTCGTGGCATTAAATGTTGCACGCACTGCAAAACATGAATATCTTCCTCCGTATTTCTGTCTTGTTTTCCAGCGCAAATATCTAAACATCCTTAAATCAAGATACATTTACTGGAGACGCACAATGAAGATGTGAAGCCAGAAATTGATCAAAATAAAGGGAGTTTATGCTTAAAACAAGAGCAAATATCTGTCAATGAGGAATGAAAACGTGTTTTCCCTTTGAATTTAGTTTATTTTTCGGAGCCCATTGACCGATATTTGTTCTTGTTTTAATCATAAACTCACTTCATTTTGATCAATTTCTCAGAAAAAAAGACTTAAAGGGATAGTTCACCCAAAAATGAAAATTACCCCATGATTTACTCACCCTCAAGCCATCCTAGCTGTATTAGGCTTGCTGCGATAGACGGTGTTTTCGGTTAAGCTGCAACACCGGTTACGTCATTTGCCTACCGCGGCATGTTTCTTATTTATTTGGTTCCACGGTGTTTGCTGATTTTCAGTTTTATATACCTATTTAAACTTTGTGTAGCCCAAGTCATTTGTTATTTTATTAGGCATATATGGTGTATTTTTATTCGTTTTGTATGCGCACGGCACTTTTACAAGCCATTTGAAAGCGAAGAAAAGAGGGAAACTCAAACAAACTAATACCCCCCCACCCACCCAACGGTGATACCGGTATTACCAGTGTTGTCACACGTCGATTAACGGTGGGAAAATTTCCTCACCGTCACAACCCTAAGCTGTATATGACATTTTTCTTTCAGACGAATCTGTTTTAATCATAAACTCACTTCATTTTGATCAATTTCTCAGAAAAAAAGACTTAAAGGGATAGTTCACCCAAAAATGAAAATTACCCCATGATTTACTCACCCTCAAGCCATCCTAGCTGTATTAGGCTTGCTGCGATAGACGGTGTTTTCGGTTAAGCTGCAACACCGGTTACGTCATTTGCCTACCGCGGCATGTTTCTTATTTATTTGGTTCCACGGTGTTTGCTGATTTTCAGTTTTATATACCTATTTAAACTTTGTGTAGCCCAAGTCATTTGTTATTTTATTAGGCATATATGGTGTATTTTTATTCGTTTTGTTAATAAAAGTTCTATGAGTTTGACGTTGTTGTTGCTTGAATGGACCTTTTTCACATTTCCGGATTTCTCAGCAGCGGAAGTCGTCATAGTTGGGTTAACTTGTATAGCAGTGAATGGGAGAATACCGCAAATATATTTTTTGCATTCCCATTTGCTCAGATAGCAAAAGATAAACTCCACGATAGTGTTTTCATGAATTTCAATAAAAGGAAAAAAATTGAGAGAGACCGATAACGGCTGTCAGAAGAGAGAACGATGTCAAATTTACCGTCCCTCCCATAGACACTGCATTAGAAACACCCGCGCATTAGCATTAACTGTCTTTTGTAATTTGATGCAAAGGCGATATAATACAAAGAATAGTGTTATTAATGTAGATACATTTAAAAAAAAAGATACAAATATGAAAAACTTTCGAGGATTTACAATGCTGATGACCGTTAAACGCGTCATCACAATCTTGTGAAAAGGGTCCATTGAATCAACGCCGAATTGCTGCTAATTTGAAAGTGAAAGTAAAATGCGCACGGCGCTTTTTCAAGCTATTTGAAAGCCAAGACCCATGATTTACTCGCCCTCAAGCCATCCTAGGTGTATATGACTGTCTTATTTCAGACGAATCCAATCGGAGTTATATTTAAAATATCCTGGCTCTTCCAAGCTTTATAATGGCAGTGAATGGGTGTTATTTTTCAATAGTCCAAAAGAGGTCCAATAAAGTGCATCCATCCATCATAAAAAGTGCCTCACACGGCTCCAGGGTGAATAAAGGTCTCCTGAAGCAAATCAATGCGTTTGTGTAAGAAAAATATACATATTTAAAACTTTATAAACCGTAATCTCTAGCTTCCGCTAACTGTCGTACGCGAGTTCATTCCAGCGGATGATGTAGGCGTAGCGTAAGCTCCGGTGAGAATATGCTCGTCTCACGAGAACTGACGTTTGTTTACAGGAGCAAAGGAAGCAAAGTTTCCTTACTTTAGCAAAGGAAACCCAGTCTCCTCTCGGCTTATATCCAAATCCTCCCACATTTGTCTTTACAAATCTTCGCTGCGCTTCCGAATTCCTCACTTCTTACGTGATCCGCTGGAATGAACGCGCGTACGACAGTTAGTGGAAGCTAGAGATTACGGTTTATAAAGTTTTAAATATGGATATTTTTCTTACACCAACGCATTGATTGGGGCCTTTATTCACGTGTGAGGCACTTTTTATGATGGATGGATGCACTTTATTGGACTTCTTTTGGACTATTGAAAAATAACACCCATTCACTGCCATTATAAAGCTTGGAAGAGCCAGGATGTTTTTAAATATAACTCCGATTGGATTCTTCTGAAAAAAGAAAGTCATATACACCTAAGATGGCTTGAGGGTGAGTAAATCATGGGGTAATTTTCATTTTTGGGTGAACTATCACTTTAAGTCATTTTGTTTCTCCAGTAAATATATCTTGATTTAAGAATCTTCAGTCATTTGCACTGGAAAACAAGACCGAAATACTGAGGAAGAACCTCATTGTTTTGCAGTGTGATCAGAAGATATACAGTAAACGTTATTTCCATAATCTAGCATTTCTGAGCAGAGCTGTAACACAAGCTGTCAAATAAATTAAAAAGAAATGCAGATCTGTTGGAAGTTAAAGTGTTTCAAACACAACTCATTTTGCTCTCTAGACATTCACATTTAGAGAGCATACTGACATTGTTTTCCCTTTAATTTATTTTTTACATTTTCTTTACTTGGTCTTTAAATAGTCTTGAATTGACCTGCAGAAAGCCTGTTTTTGTTCACTGAGCTATTGTATCTCTACTTTGATGTCTAGTGTAAAATATGTGATGCAAAAGTCTTGAAGCATAGTGGAGACTCTGTGTCTTCATTTGACCATAAGGAGAAAAACACACACAGATGCATTTAAATGAATATTAAATTTTAATTGCTGAAGTGTAATTGGTCAGATAAGAAGTTCTTTCACTCTCAGAGAGTGATTTAAAAAGTTTAATAATTGTTTGAGATGTTTGTTATTCACACTCGTTTATTTAAAGAGCTGAGGAATGTTTCTTCTAATGCTAATTTCCTCATTATGGTTGTACAGAAAGGCTCTCTCATGTCCAATCAGCCGCTTCGAGGTGAATCCAAATCACTTTTATTGAAGAAAACCGCAGCAGAGCGAATGTTTGTCCGGCGCTGCGCTCTCCGCCTGAAGTCTTGAGGATTTTATCGCACAAACACTTTTAATGATGTTTTTGTGTGCTGGATGTTATTGTTGTTATATATAAGTGTTGCTTTGGTGCAAACGGCTCTTCAGTGTGAGTCAGGAGCGACGGCAGGAATGACATGTGCAGAAATTAATTGAACGCCTGCAAGCGCTTCATATCATACAACACATGTTGTTGTTGTGCTTCCGTTCTGTTCTCATCGCGTCTAAAGCAGCTGCAGATCAGTTTATGACTCAATGTCACCTGGATCAAGAACGATTATGACACAGACGACAAACCGACTGCTGTTAAACTCAAGACCGCAAAACTGACGTGTCTTTACTAAAATAGAGTAAAAATTTTAGTAAATGCATAGAAATGCTATCGTGAAATATCCACAAAACTGGGGGGGAAAATCCAGAGAGATTGATTGTTGTTCAGAAGAGAGAAAAAAATAGAAACTTTTGTTGCATGGAATAAAATTAATTTGGCAACACTTTACAATAAGGTCTCATTTGTTAACATTAAGTTAGTGCCTTAACTTATAAAAGTAACCATAAAAAAATATATATTTTTACAGCATTTATAATCTTAAGGGGATTCTTTTATAAGATGGACCCAGAAAAACTTTTCCAATTTCTTTCAAAAGTAAATTTATTTATAGAATTGTATGTGCAATACTTTGTTTTTATTAATTAATTTATTGTATTTTGTATTGTGTACTACTATATTGTTTTTCTCATGTATAATATTTGCCATGAAATAGCCTGTGAAGCTGATGTGGCAATAAACTTAAATTAAACGGCACATCGTTTATTAACCTTTGTTAATGTTAGTTAATAAAAATGTTAAAGCTCATGTTAGTTCACAGTTGACAGGTACATTATTTGATTTTAATAGAGTCAGAATTGTGAGATTAAGTCGAAATTGTGAGAAGTTAGAATTGCAAGAAAACAGTCAGGATTGCGAGAAAAAGTCAGGATTGTGAGATATAAAATTAGAATGGCAAAACATAAACTCCGAATTCAGGCCTTGTTCTGTATATTATGGCAGTCGAATGGGTTGTTCATGATGATTGAATGCATTATAACCTCAATACAAAAGCTGTTAAATCAGGCAACTGGAAATGTGTTGAAGCGACCGTAGATCTTCATCCAGACAGACTCTTTTGACTGAAGGTGAGTGTCGTGTGTGTTTGTTCAGGAGGAACTGATAATCATCTGGTTCTGGTGGACCTGAGGCCTCAGGGGATGGACGGAGCGCGGGCCGAGCGGGTTCTGGAGCTGGTGTCCATCACAGCCAACAAGAACACCTGCCCTGGAGACAAGAGCGCACTGACCCCCGGCGGCCTGAGACTCGGTGAGAAACACTCACTCACACACACTCACTCACGCACACACTCACTCACACACACTCACACACACACTCACACTCACACTCACACAGACACACACACTCACACAGACACACACACACGCACACACACACACACACGCACACGCACACACACACACACACACACACTCGCACACACACACACACTTACACACTCACTCACTCACTCTCAATCTCTGCTCCTCTGGTTTCCCAGGATCCCCTGCTCTCACGTCCCGTCAGTTCAAGGAGTCGGACTTCCAGCAGGTGGTGGATTTCATGGATCAGGGCATCAAGATTGCTCTGGACGTCAAGAAGAAGACCAGTGAGTACATACTCGGAGATCTGCTGTGACCGTGTGTTTCTGCTCAGTCATGGGCTGTTATTATATATCATGTTTTATATCAACAATATACAGTGGTGTGAAAAAGTGTTGGCCCCCTTCCTGATTTCTTATTTTTTTGCATGTTTGTCACACTTTAATGTTTCAGATCATCAAACAAATTTAAATATGGGCAAACACTTTTTTCACACAGGGCCATGTAGTTTTGGGTTTTGTTTTCCCTTAATAATAAAAACCTTCATTTAAAAACTGCATGTTGTGACTTGTGTTATCTTTTACTAATATTTAAATTTGTTTGATGATCTGAAACATTAAAGTGTGACAAACATGCAAAAAAATAAGAAATCAGGAAGGGGGCCAACACTTTTTCACACCACTGTATATCATATCAACACATCAGCAATGTTGTCATTATTGCATATCATGTGTTTTCATTTGATGACTGACAGCATTACAGTAACAAAAGAACAAATTCTGAAGTTCTTTCTACATTAAAACAGTTTTAGCCATACAATAGAAATTGCTCAGGGCGATTAATTATACATATTGTGTACATTAAATGTTTAATTTTGGCAAATGTGTGCATGTTGCCATTATTAAAATTGAATGATATTAATCAGCCGCTCATCTCTATAAGCAATCAGTATCATCATCTGCCATCAAAAACAAAAATATACATAATTAGTATAAACATTATTTTTTATAAACTTAAAAATAAAAACAAATACACCGCCATTCAGAAGATTTGGTTTTGTTTTAAACGATGATTAATGATTTATTCATCAAGGACGCATTTAAGTGATCAAAAGTGACAGTAAAGACATTTATAATGCTACAAAAGATTTCTATTTCAAATAAATGCTGTTCTTTTGAACTTTCTATTAATCTGTGAATCCTGAAAAATAAAATGTATCACAGTTTCCACAAAAATATTTATGTTTTCAACATCGATGATAATCAGAAATGTTTCTCGAGCAGCAAATCAGCATATTAGAATGATTTCTGAAGATCATGTGACACTGAAGACTGGAGTAATGATGCTGAAAATACAGCTGCGCATCACAGAAATACATTACAGTTTAACAGAGATTCACACAGAAAACAGCTGTTTGAAATTCTAAAAATATTTCACAATTTTTACTGTATTTCTGAACAAATAAATGCAGCCAAAACACGAGCATTATTGCAGCTTTAATGTTGTTCTGCGTGTTTTGCTGTTGTGTTTCTCTCTTCATTGAGTCTCTCTCTGTTTCCCTTCAGAAAAGCTGTCAGATTTCAAGAGTTTTCTGCTTGAGGACTCGGAGACGGCGTCTCGTATCGCTGATCTGCGTCAAAGCGTGGAAGCGTTCGCTCGTCCGTTCCCCATGCCTGGATTCCACGACCATTAAAGCAGCAGCGAACGAACGCGTTATTTCTTTTCTTTAGCTTTAAGATCAGTCACTACATTATTAATCATTTACTGAAACTAAAAGTCTTAAAACGAGCAGTGGTGCACGAAGCTACCAACATGAGTTGAAATGATTTATTCCTCATGTGTGATCCTTTTATGACATCCAGGACTCGAGTAACATCTATATCTTCCGTTTCGAGTGAGGAACAACCGTTTCTAACAGACTAATGATGCTAAATGTTTACAGACTGCGATTTCCGTTCGGAGCCGTTTTTCTGCTGGAGTCTCGGTAGTTTGAGTTCTTCTTCTCTTTTGATAATCGAAGCTGTTTTGTAAATGTACAGTAGTGTGTGTAAAGACTTTAACTGCATTGTTGGAGTTTGTATTGGCTCAGTGATTTCTGAGCGTTTACGGAGCGCACACACACACTCATACAAACACACACACACTCACTCATACAAACACACACACTCATATAAACACACACACATATATACACACACTCATACCAACACACTCACTCACTCATACAAACACACACACTCATACAAACACACACACATATATACACACACTCACATACACACACACTCACATACACACACTCATACCAACACACACACTCACTCATACAAACACACACACTCACTCATACAAACACACATACAAACACACACACACACTCATACAAACACACACACACACACACACTCATACAAACACACACACATATATACACACACTCATACAAATACACACACACACACTCATACATACAAACACACACTCACATACACTCATACCCACACACTCACACAAACACACACACACATATATACACACACTCATACAAATACACACACACACACTCATACATACAAACACACACTCACATACACTCATACCCACACACTCACACAAACACACACACACATATATACACACACTCATACAAATACACACACACACACTCATACAAACACACACACACTCATACAAACACACACACACTCATACATACAAACACACACTCACATACACTCATACACTCACACAAACACACACACACATATATACACACACTCACACACTCGCATATATACACACACTCACATATATACACACACTCATACAAACACACACTCACATACACTCATACACACACACTCACACAAACACACACACACATATATACACACACACACACTCATACACACACACACTCGCATATATACACACACTCACATATATACACACACTCATACAAACACACACACATACACACTCACACACACACACTCATACTCACACTCATACACACACACACACACTCATACAAACACACACTCATACAAACACACATACATACACACACACTCATACAAACACACATACACACACAAACACACTCATACAAACACACACACACACTCACACTCATACACACACACACGCTCATACAAACACACATACATACACACACACTCATACAAACACACACACACACACACTCATACACACACACACACACATGTTTGTTTTTGTGAATTGTGGGGACATTCCATAGGCGTAATCCAGGCAGTGTGTGTAAAGACTGTATTTCTGCGTTGTTGGAGTTTGTATTGGCTCAGTGATTTCTGAGCGTTTACTGAGCGCGGTGATTGTGAACAAACGCACTAATATTGATAAATACTTTCAACACGTCTGCAATCCTCCACTCTCCTGGATTCTGCCTGACAAAACACCTTTTTTATCACAAAATGATTCTTTTTAAATGGACAGATCTTTACAAATGATTTTCTAAAAACGTCTAATCCCAATAAAATGGTGTTGTAGGAAAATGCAACTCTTTTGGCTGCTCTTTTCTTTCTGTGTAAGTGTGTGTGGGTAGAGATGATCGATCGGCTGTGTTCTGGCCCGTCGTCTTCACAGGAATAATGTGTTTTGAGTCAGAGGATTATTCAGGAACGTGCATTTAAAAATACATCTCGGAGTAATATGACAGACTGAAAGAGCTGCTGCTAATCAGTGGATTAAAGTGAGCGTTAAAACGCAGTGTGTGTGGAGAGTGTCCAGGACAAATCAAAGCCCAAACTCACAAGAAAGACTAAGAAGAACTTATTATTTTTAATGTAACCTATTTTTAGCATTATGACATTTTATTAAGCATATTTACTGATGTTTTAAACCTATTTATACCAGTGTTATTTTAGTATTGATATACTATTAGTTTTAGACAGTTTAAATATATATATATATATAGTTTTTTAGTTGTAAATAAAACAGATTGTTAGAGTACGTTTTACAAGAAAATACTATTTCAGTCTTTCTACTTAAAAATTTCACATTTAATTCAATGGGTTACTTGCTGGGGGTTTTTTTTGTAATTGTGAAACTTACTAGCAATTTATTAGTAAAAATTGTTTCTACACAATTTTTTTTCAGTGTAGTTAATATTTTGAATAGGATTCTATTTTTATATTTTCTATAAAATTCTTTTTAGTTTTAGTTAAAGTTTTGGTCATTTTGTTGTGCGCTTTTGTCATTTTTATTAGTTTGTTTTTTAATATGTCTATATAGTATTATTAAATCTATTCAGATCTGTTTATTAAATAATATTTCAATAGATTTTTAGTTAGTTTTTAATGTCTATAGTATTTATTAAATCTGTTAAAATCTATTTATTAATATTAGTTATTTTAATATACTGAAAAAAATGTAATTATTGTTAAAAAATTATTAAGTTATTAAATTGTTAAATTATTATAACAGTTTTCACTCAGAAATTGCTAGTAAATGTCACAAATAATTACAAGGAAGTGTCAAGTTACACACTGAATAAAACATGAAATTTTAAAATAAAATAAAAAATGAATTCGTATTTTCTTGTAAAACATACTCCAAAAATCTGTTTCATTTACAGCCTGTAAAAATAATTTTTTACAGTATTTTTCACCATAAAATAAGAAATGTTAGCTGTTTATATTTTAATTCAGTATTTAAATTTTTTTGTTTTATTTCAAGTAATGAACATTTTTAATGGTATTAGTTTTTTAAGTTTTAGTTGACGATAATAACCCTGATTTCCACGCATAATCTCTTAATACATGCTTTATCCCTATTTTAACCCTTGATTAATTGCTGTAATGTGAATAGAAAATATTTATTTAAATTGTAGAATATACATCATGGCAAAAAGTCTTAATGGCCTTAAAAGGGGTAGTTTTTATTTATTTAAAAATATTATTTCTTAGGTTTTTTTTTTTTTTTTTTTGGATGGGATTTGAGTTTTTCAGTCAGATGTTATTGTTTTCTCTCATTCTGTGTGTGTCAGACAGTAAAATCCCAGCGGAAGCTGAAGCGGCTCATGATGAGTGAATCCCGGTGTGTTTGTGTCGCGGGTTCAGGAGTCTCTTGCATCCGTCGTCTGTGTGTGTTTGTGTCGGAATCTCAGGGATGAGCTGACATGATCGGGAATCTCTCTCTCCTCCTCCTGCAGGCACAGACAGCCGTTAATTTGAGAATAAATCAGCGGCGTTCGGCGAGGGATGGATAAACGACAGTGCCTGCAATTAATTGCGCTCGTTTATTTGGAGTGGCACGTCGGCGTCTGAACGTGTGTCATAATTAAAGCCCTGCAGGACTGTGATGTGGCGTTACGGAGTCGATGACTTAAGTGGCGTTTTAGAGTCCCATTTAAACTCCAAACAATGGCTAATGTGCCGTAATTATCCCATAATAAAGTGTAAGTGTCTCTTATAGAGCAATAACAGTCCCGCGGAGAGACGAGGAGGAGGGATGTGAGAGAGGAAGAAGCTTCACACATCAATTAAGAGCCTGGCAGACACTGAGGAGACGCGATGAAGAACAGAACCTCACTAACACACACACACAGTCATTGTACAGCATTACTGTACTTAGACAAATAGGCCTTAGTCAAGTCACCTTTATTTCTATAGTATGGAAGCCTGTTTCTGCCATAGAATAAACAAATAAAAAAGGTAATTGCAACTTTTTATCTCACAATTCAGACTTTTCTCGCAATTCTGAGAAAAAAAAAGTAAGAATTGCGAGATATGACCTCGGAATTGCGGGATATGAACTCAGAATAGAGGGATATGAACTTGGAATTGTGAGATATGAACTCGGAATTGCAAGATGTGAACCCGGAATTGCGAGATGAAGTCAGGATTGCGGGATATGAACTCAAAATTGTGAGATGAACTCAAAATTGTGAGATATGAACTCGGAGTTGTGGGATGTGAACTCAGAATTGCGAGATGTGAACCCGGAATTGTGAGATGAACTCAGGATTGCGGGATATGAATTCAAAATTGTGAGATGAACTCGAAATTGTGAGACATTAACTCGAAATTGTGAGATATGAACTTGGAATTGCGAGATGTGAACCAGGAATTGTGAGATGAACTCAGTATTGCGGGATATGAACTCAGTATTGCGGGATATGAACTCAAAATTGTGAGATGAACTCGAAATTGTGAGATATGAACTCGGAATTGTGAGATATGAACTCAGAATTGTGGGATGTAAACTCGGAATTGTGGGATGTGAACTCGGAATTGCGAGATGTGAACCCGGAATTGTTAGATTAACTCCGTATTGCGGGATATGAATTCAAAATTGTGGGATATGAACTCAAAATTGTGAGACATGAACTCGAAATTGTGAGATCAACTCGAAATTGTGAGACATGAACTCGGAATCGTGATATATGAACTCGGAATTGCGGGATGTGAAATCGGAATTGCGAGATGTGAACCCGGAATTATGAGATATGAACTCGGAATTGCGGGATGTGAACTCGGAATTGCGAAATACAAACTTAGGATTGTGGGATATGAATTCAAAATTGCAGGATATGAACTCGTAATTGTGAGATGTTAATTCAGAATTGTGAAATGTGAACTCAGGATTACGGGATATGAACATCAGCGGCGTTCGGCGAGGGATGGATAAACGACAGTGCCTGCAATTAATTGCGCTCGTTTATTTGGAGTGGCACGTCGGCGTCTGAACGTGTGTCATAATTAAAGCCCTGCAGGACTGTGATGTGGCGTTACGGAGTCGATGACTTAAGTGGCGTTTTAGAGTCCCATTTAAACTCCAAACAATGGCTAATGTGCCGTAATTATCCCATAATAAAGTGTAAGTGTCTCTTATAGAGCAATAACAGTCCCGCGGAGAGACGAGGAGGAGGGATGTGAGAGAGGAAGAAGCTTCACACATCAATTAAGAGCCTGGCAGACACTGAGGAGACGCGATGAAGAACAGAACCTCACTAACACACACACACAGTCATTGTACAGCATTACTGTACTTAGACAAATAGGCCTTAGTCAAGTCACCTTTATTTCTATAGTATGGAAGCCTGTTTCTGCCATAGAATAAACAAATAAAAAAGGTAATTGCAACTTTTTATCTCACAATTCAGACTTTTCTCGCAATTCTGAGAAAAAAAA